GCTCATGCAGGTGCATACTTAGCTACTTGCATCAGCGTTGTATGTACTCAGCAGAATGGTCTTTGCTATGGGCTGGTCTACCCTGGGAAGTTACATTAGCATAGCTACATCTCTCTACCCCCAGTATACACAGTGCTAGGGAAGTGAATTACCTATGCTGATGGGAGAACTCCTCCCATTGGCGTAAGTGGTGTTTACACTGAAATGCTACAGCAGTGCAGATGTGCTGCTGTAACATTTTAAGTGTGGATGTACCCTATCTCAAGTTGACTACTTAACTACAAAAAGAACAGGAGTACTTGTGGCACCTTAGAGACTAACAAATTTATTTGAGCATAAACTTTCGTGGGCTACAGCCCACTTCATCGGATGCATAGAATGGAACATATAGTGAGGAGATATATAGACACATAAAGAGAAGATGTAAAGGTGGGAGTTGTTCTACCAAGAGGCTTAACTTCTTAGAGTTGGTAGGACAACTCCCACCTTTTCATGTTCTCTGTATGTGTATATATATCTCCTCACTATATGTTCCATTCTATGCATCCGATGAAGTGGGCTGTAGCCCACGAAAGCTTATGCTCAAATAAATTTGTTTAGTCTCTAAAGTGCCACAAGTACTCCTGTTCTTTTTGCGGATACAGACTAACACGGCTGCTACTCTGATACTTAGACTCATAGACTTTAAGGTCAGAAGGGACCATTATGATCATCTGGTCTGACCTCCCGCATGATGCAGGCCACAAAGCCGTCCCTACCCTTTCCCTTGACTCTGCTGTTGAAGTCCCCAAATCCTGTGGCTTAGAGACTTCAATTAGCAGAGAATCCTCCTGCTAGCGATCCCTGCCCCATGCTGCGGAGGAAGGCGAAAAACCTCCAGGACCTCTGCCAATCTACCCTGGAGGAAAATTCCTTCCCGACCCCAAATATGGCAATCAGTAAAACCCCGAGCACGTAGGCAAGATTCTCCAGCCTGACCCTCATTAGCCATTATACTATTTACCTGCCATGGCACGCTGTTCCTTTGACTAAAATCACGTTATCCCATTAAACCATTCCCTCCATAAACTTATCTAGCTTAATCTTAAAACCAGACAGGTCCTTCACCCCCACCGTTTCCCTCGGAAGGCTGTTCCAATATTTCACCCCTCTGACTGTCAGAAACTTTCGTCTAATTTCAAGCCTAAACTTCCCCACGGCCAGTTTATATCCATTCGTTCTCGTGTCCACATTAGTACTGAGCTGGAATAATTCCTCTCCCTCCCTGGTATTTATCCCTCTGATATATTTAAAGAGAGCAATCATATCCCCCCTCAGCCTTCGTTTGGTCAGGCTAAACAACCCGAGTTCCTCTAGTCTCCTTTCATACGACAGGTTTTCCATTCCTCTGATCATCCTAGTGGCCCTTCTCTGTACCCGTTCCAGTTTGAGTTCATATTTTTTAAACATGGGAGACCAGAACTGCACACAGTACTCCAAATGAGGTCTCACCAGCGCTTTGTACAGCGGAAGCAGCACCTCCTTATCCCTACTAGAGATACCTCGCCTAATGCATCCCAAGACCGCATTGGCTTTTTTCACCGCCACGTCACATTGTCGACTCATAGTCATCCTGCGGTCTACAAGGACCCCGAGGTCTTTCTCCTCCTCCGTTACTTCTAACCGATGCGTCCCCAGCTTGTAACTAAAATTGTTGTTAGTCATCCCTAAATGCATCACCTTACACTTTTCACTATTAAATTTCATCCTATTTCTGATACTCCAATTCACAAGGTAATTCAAGTCTCCCTGCAGAATATCCCT